CCAAAGAAGGAATTGCAGCAATTAAAAAAGGACGGAACAAGTCGAATGGGAATTCCAATTTCCAAAATTCCAGAATTTTGGGAAAAGGCATGGGGGTCCAGCAATTAGAAAAAGACAGAAGAAGACAAGGGGGTTCCAATAATAAAAAGAACACAAGATAAAGATGAAGAATAAAAAAGTGAACGATAACGATTCAGCGATGTAAACAGCAAGAGTAAAAGACAGCAAAGAGAGATTTCCAACGATAGAAAAAGCAGTTCTAGAAAATTCCAACTGCTGACAAACTGTGGACACGTTAAAGAGTAAGTCGTAGGAAATCCCTCTGGAAAGAGAGGGTTATTAACCCTAGGGACTCCTTCGTCTGATATTTTGCCGCTCTTACGAACGTGAAATTGAACGTACGAGTCTCTCTTCCGACGCGTGAACTTCTGTGGAAACGGTACGCGTGCCAGACACGTGTTCAAGCCACTAACCCTGTATTTTTCTACCCTGCTTCCGTCACTAATAACACCTATTCGTCACACGCGTGTTCTTCACAAAGTTTCCAATATTGCATATCTCGTTATATTGTATATGCGTTTCATCTGTATCTTCATGTTCGGCAATAATCTATGCTCCAGTACACTTTCCATCACTTCGTTTGCTTCTCTAATTTACTATGTGGAAAAACCGAGATGCAAGTATCGATATACGCAATATTTGAAGTACATTGAGAATGAATATTATATTGGAATTCGTATAAATATTTGAATCGATGCGACGTGTGCGTCAGTAGCGCTAAATGTTAAATTATAGGCACGAGAGGGATGGGAAAGCGTGCGAAGAATTCGAAAATCTGTGTACTGGGAGGAATGGTGGGTGCTTATTCCGGAGGACCGAGAAAAAGGGGAGAGCAAGGGGTGCGGAGGAAGCAACTCGTGTGCTTTCGTGGTTTTTTGAGTGTTCCCGAAATATCCTCGTGCCGAGGGCACAGCGAAAGATAAAGAGGGAGGAAAGAGAGGGAGAGAGTGCGTTATAGTCTTAGAAGAGAGAGATGAGATGGGAATGCCAGTCTTCGGTAACTAGTCATCCTAGCAACGTGCCTTCGCGAGTTCTTGTCGGTGACAAAGGTCGTCAAAGAAGAAGATCTCGAGTTAGCTGATCTGAAGTTCCTCTGACCCGTGATTCATCGAAAACGTGTTGTTTCGACAGCGCTTTAGTCTTCTAGTGGTGTCGCCTTATCCAATTAGTGTGAACTTGTTCCTGCAAATATTATCGTACAAAGCTGAATACGATGGTTCTAAGAACACTTTAATTAATACGTCCTTCGCTTCAGTAATATTGGTGCTATTTTATATCCAAGTTAAGAACAGACTTATAAATGGATGATTTCACGAGGTTCAGGGTTTAAGAGAAGTTCGAATCGATAGAAACGCGAGTAATCCGGCTGCAATATCAATCTCGGCGTAATATTCGAGAGTCGAAGACGTAGAAACGTAGTCGATGAACGTCGAGCACGATTGAAAGTGTGTCGAAGATGCCTCTGAAAATCGAAAGTGGCACCTACACGGTGAATCCTGTGGCCAAAAAGAACGTTTCCAAGTTCCTCCTTTGGAAACACTGGCGTAGGAGGTATGACAATTTCTATTCCGACCGGCGTTTTGATTTCCAAGCGTGTACTCGTCCTACTCTCCATTTCGCGCCACTAGTTTCACCGATCTTATCTGACAGATCCTTTTCGTTAGTTGATCACGTGTATGAATCTCTCATTTGTTCTATTATTGGCGGTAATACACACGATAAACTATTGAATCTTTCAGCCTAGTATTTACATTTCACGTAATTTACGGTGAAACTTTTTCTATTAGTTGCTTTAGCGAACGAGTTCTCGCGAATGTAACGAACCGTTTTATTCATCCAACAACAACAGTTTCACTGTTTCCACTGACAGCTCTGTTAAACTCGGCTCGCGATATCTTCTCTTTTCCGAGCCAGTTTCCAGTGTTTCTTCTGAACTCGTGCTCGTTAACGTTGTGGCTAACGAGCTGTAATTTAATTACTTGATTAAGAGATGAATCTTGATAAAATTCGGCTAACTAGCAACGACACGCGATTTCTTCGATCGGCGAACGCACGAGGATTCTCGTGACGCTTTGACATTTTCTATGGTTCCCCACCACGTTCATTCCCACGCGTGTACGTCTACATTCATCATCAATACGTTCACGATCAAGCATGATCCGATCACCTTGCACTATCTTGGCATACCTTTGCTTCGCTGCACGTCTCATGCAATGCTCTTTTAATCCGTAACACCATTTGCATACAGACGAACTAGCGCTCGATCAACCGCACTTATGCAACTCGTGAAAGAAAAACATAAAGAAACAATACCGACTGGAATCTTCTAAAATTGTCCTGTGGAAATGTTTGAAATTAGATACACTGATGGCCAGAAGTGTCAGGACACTTATTAACTTATTGTATATCGATGAATTTCCTATGTGATTTATTACAAACCTGTTATTTTATTGCCATTATATGTGAAGCAAGATTTAGAATTTTCCAACGAATGTAACACGAATTAGGTGTCCTAATACTGTACGGTGTATGTAACCTGTCGTTTGAAAAGTGTGATTATACGAAACCGCGTGTATAACTAACAGTCTTAGTTTTTAACAAAATTGAAGGTTTTATTCACTGTGAATGTGTACGTCCTTTACACGAAGAATGTAAAATATGCAAATTAATTGGCGTGACGTTACAACTGTCTGATTAATACGATTTAAAACAGATCGAACGTATCACTCGCTCGACAATATCGATTGCTCGTTGCACACAGACCACCTTACGTTCCTTTTCTATAATGCATGCGATTCTCGAAAGCGAATCGTACTCGATCGATGCACCAGCTTGCACTGCCTTCTGATTCTGCACAACCCCATGCGATTCGTGCAAAATCGGTATAAGCCTCGGCAACGATTAGCGTGCAATTAGTGCCGCGTTAATTCAACCGAAACAACTCAGCAGGCAGTTAGAAAACAATCGCAAATAGCGATGCAACGTTTCATCTATTTCAGCAGCTCATCTTTCACTGTTCTCTACTTCTAGTTTTACTAGTTTTTTCTTTTTTTTTTTAGACTCCTTCTAGCTACGCTTTCAATCCTAAATTCGAAGCTATACAGGGTATTCCACGAATCGGTCGCCACGATATTTGATCTGGGTTTCTTTTTCTTTTCTCTTTTTTCTTTTTTTTTTTGTTAAACTGTCAGAACCAGTTCAGATATCGTGTTGACCAATTTATGGATCGCTCCGTATACTTTTGTCTTCATCGCTATTTGCACGTCTAAACGCGTTATAAAACATACGGTAGAACCTCGATCGCCTGAACATCAATCAATGTAAAATTTCACGATGGTCCCTCGTAAGAGAAATTGAGACACCAGAACAGAAATAATTTTTATTCAGAAGTTGTCTTTCCTGTTTAGAACAATTCAAAATAAGTGATCTCCGGGGACTAAAAAAGCTAGCTCGGATAATCGGGGTTCTATAGGTAGTAGATTTTACGTTAAGAGAAAAAAACGTGAAAGCTGGTGCTACATATCGACAGATACGTGGATTTATTACGACGGACTCGTCTGTATTCTGCCACCGGTCGATTCATAAAATTAGATCCACGCTAATAAAGTTTACACACGCGTTATTTGCTTTTTAAAGTCACGGGGCCACGCGGCACCTCTCTCTCTCTCTCTCTCTCTCTCTTTTCGTGATTCACGATGATAAAATTGTTTGCTCATCCAGTGGCACGATTATGCGCGAAATTACCGAGGTTCACGGAGCATGCAGTTTCGTTAAGCAATCTTGTAATTGTTTTGTAGGATTTTCCGCCTTGCTTTCAACCGTGAACACACCGCAGTGAAACGAATTACGCTATTTTCCGCGAAACAATCGAGCATTTTAAAACGTTTATCTCGAAACGTTTCTCGGTGAATCTAATTCGATTTAAGCTCGATCCCACGATAACGCAATTTCTATTTAAACGCACTACGTGACTAAACGATCGTTCTAACGTTGATTAAAAAGGTCTAGTGAAAGTCAACGTCGGGATTAGCCGGTTTGCTGCAAGATAGCACCAGCTTTCAATTAATATCCACGATGCCCTCGAGCTTCGTTCCATCGTGGAAAAAACAGTCGATTCACCTACTGGTGCGGTTTCTGTCGTTAAAAAGGGAACGAAACAAGCGGAACGACTCGAGCTTGATGCTAACTCGTTCCGCTTTCTCGTGATCATTGCCGTTTACATACCGTCGATAATTTTCCTGCTCGAAGATACAGAAAATTGAGCGTTCCGCGATAGGTCGTGATGTCTCATTTAGTTCGTGAAATCGACGCGTTTTTCGCTTTTGATATTTTTCCACGTGAATTGAGAGGAACGACTCGAGAGCATCGGATCATTACCAACGAAATTCCATGGATTAATCACGTCGAAGATGATGGATTTTATTCGCGATAATTGGACTTTTATTGTTGCTCTAGACTTTTACTTAACAAATTAGGATATTTGCATGTTTATAGGAAATTTGAAAGTATAGAAATGCACACGCTGCACTTGATACTCATAATTACAAAACCATTTAAAAATTTCTAACTCTCGTATTTTATATTCTGCGAAGTTTCTAATTCTTGTAACTAATATGGCAAGAAACGAGATATACCACGCTAGAAATTATATTCAGAAACAATATTTCCCCGAGAACGGGTAGGTTATATTCTCTTTAATAAATAAGTGAAAAAATATATGATGAATGAAAGAAAGAAAAATTCGTAAATAAATAAATCTACCCTGCATCCATCATCTTCGTACGAGCAAGGAAACATCTTGAGAAAAAACAAGCAAATCCTCGATATGTTTCCTCGTAAAGAATCTTAGAGGCTCGTGACTGAGGTTCACGAGAGAAAAAAAATAGAAAAAATAGAGATGGGAAAGATCGACGAACAAAAAGGAAACAAAAACTCAACAGTGTGCACGAGGACCGCGGAGACGAGGATCGTCGACGAGCTTGCGGGCAAACACGTGGTGGCAGCGAGGTAGCGGGCCTGGAGGACGTCGGCGATTGCTGCGCCGCGACGCTGACGCCGTCGGTCCCAGGCGCCGCCGGCATCAGATCCAATCGCCGTACAAGGCCGCTCTCTCTTGCAGTACAACCTCTTAATTATCGACGCTTCGATCCGGACCCGAAAATCGCCATCGACATCGTCACCGGCCATCATCCTAACATGACTAGCCAGGAGAGCATCGGCAGCTGCAGTCTGGACGTCGATCAGTCCGCGTCCGACCGATCAGGTTGGCTATCTTCGATGTCTAGCGTTTTCCAATAGGGGCAGAGTTCACAACATTTAGAAAAATTTTGGTCTGTGTAATTTTTGTCACGCGAATACGTCATTCCTGTTACAGCAGATCAACGAGTTAATGAGAAATTAGGTGTAAGGTTTCATTGAAAATAGCGTGTAAACATTTTGTCTTCAGTACCAGAAATTCTGTCATAAGACGATAATTGAGAACGATAACAATTGAAGGATTTGCGGCAATAAGGAGACAGTATTAATAGTATTTATTGAAAGAGGAAAGACAATCAAGGTTTTCATAGCGATAAATGTAAAAATTAGTTCTACGAATATCAGTTGACTATGAATTTATAGCATTTGGAAAAGTGATTCGACTTTGAGCTGGTGTTTGCTGAATTATTCAAATTATTGAAAAGTAGAACTGCCTTCTTATTGAAGTTCCTTTAATCGATGATACTGTACCTCGTTTTAGAAGTCCTTTGTCACATTTACGGCCAACAAAATCTCACGCTAGTTCTACAGGGATACGTGTATCACGATATACATACATATAATAGATACTAGTAAATAGGATATATGATAAGCACATAGGATGTAAACCAGAAGCCATGCGAAACTGAAAGGATTACAATAAATAATAAAAATACGATAGACATTGATGATGATGATGATAACATCCATATATTTGTTCTATCGCATTGGCCAAAACGATAGTTCATCGGAACACGCATCCATCATAACCACAGCCTTAAGTGGCGATTATTTAGCGAATTCTTATATTTTACTCGAGAACACGTATGTAGTACATATATCGTGATACACGTATCTCTACTGCGTGAAAGTATTCGTAAACGAACTAAGAACGAGTAACTTTAAAGTCAAGTTCACGGAATGTCTACAAATCTGTGGAATTCAAGGGTCATCATGCAATGACCTTGCACTTGACGCATCGAAGGCCATGCAGAACGATCACACGTTGATCAACTCTCGCGCAACGAATTTTAGGCGAGACGATCTTGGTACGTTCAAGGTTATCGGTTCCCTCCACCTTCCTGTGGATCGTTCCTTTTTGCTCGGCCCCGCGGTGTCGATCGAATTTAGATCGTAGGCGAGTGCAGCAAGTGCAGGGCACAGCTTCTTTCTATCGTCAGTGCCAAGAGGAGCAGACGAGCAGAGAAGAGATGCAGAGAGGCGGTCTTGTCTCTTTTGCATCGTGACTCGGCCAGCCTCTTGCCATTCCAGGGTTATTCCTGTGTCGCGTTTCGAACGGGCACGTTTCAACCTTCCCGTGGTCTCTCCTCGTATCTGCTTCTATTTTCCGCTGGGAAAACGCTTTTCCATTTTTTCGATGGTTTCTCTTCATTATTCTTCATGGGATTCGCGTTAAAGTGTATCATTCGGATCGCGCGTTCGACTCGATTTGCGAAAGATTCGCATCGAGCGTGAACCACACGCGACCCCATTGCAGTCAGCATTGCGTGCTCGCGTCTCAAAATTATTATTCTACCGGACGTAATAAACATGGACGACTAGGGTGTGAAAAGCAGGCTGAGAAAGTGTATCAAGGAATTACAAAAGCATAGGCCTGCCTGTAATTAGAGCAAACCTTGCGAAACCAACAGAGGCTTCTGCTTTACAGAGAACACCATAGACACTATATCGAAGAAAACGTTGCACAGTCTGAATTTATCTTGCAACGGTGACTCGGCGTCTCAGGCGGAGAAGTTGGCAAACGGTAGCAGTGAAACGCTGCAAAAGTCCAATTTAACTCCAGATGAGAAATTAAATGTCAGCAATGGTCATCGAAACAGTCCAGAGCCAGAGCAGCTGACAGTGAAGAAACCGAGTTACTTAGGTCTGGCTTGTAGCATCAGTGGCTATTCGGGGATCAACAGATACGACAGCAAGCTCAGGGAAGGATTTCGATCGAGGGACAGCAGCCCTGGGACCAGGTTGATCAATAGAGACACCAGCCCGGCAGGTTTCAGGTAAAATATTTATCAATCAGACTGCAATGTTTTTTAATCTCTTCTTCTCCCTTTAACTGAGTTGCTCCTCGATCAAACGCTTCTACTGTCACAGATTTAGAAGTTAACAAACACAGGTCAATTTCAGTTAGTTCTGATAGGGAAAATGAAAAAATATATTTAGCGTACTAACATTAGTCATAAGTAATTGTACTTAGCATATGTGTTACTTGTACTGTCACGAGGTGAATAAAGATAACAATAAGGAACAAACTTTTATAAAGTTTTCTGGAAGTTCAATGGATGTTAAAATATTTCAGATCAAACGAAAATCTCAACGTGCCAGCGCACCCTTATACACCTAAGAGCCAGTCAATTTCACCCCTAGCGATGGATAGACAAAACGGTTTTTCCAACGGTCTGAAGGAGGAGTGTAAAGTGGAGACTTACAGGGAAGCCAGAAGTTCCATAGGAATCTATCAGGGCTACTCCGAGGTTGACAAAGGAGTGTTGCACACTACGTTCCCTGATATCAGTCCAGTTCAAGCTTCTACACCTACGAAACGTAGCCCTGGAGTATCGCAGATGATGTCTTGTAGTCAACAGAATAAACATTTCTCAGTGTCGTCTCCAAAGCAACCTACTGTTAACCGTAAGTACTTGATCACAAATATATCTCAGACAAATAAAATTTGTATTCCCTATTTTTACTATTACCATTTTTATTGGAACTTTCATTCATAAATTGTTTGCAGTTTCGAATGCTTCGTTTGGCGATACGAGTATAATAAACGGGGCCACAGAGGAGGTGGAAAATCAGGTGGTAAACAGCACCACGAGCAGCGAAAAATCTTTCATTCAGCAACGAGTAGAACGGCTCTACGGTCCTGGAGCTCTAGCACAGGGTTTTTTCTTCAAACGTAGCACCAGCAGACTGAGCACTAGCGACAGCAGCTTTAATAAGTCTAGTAACAACAACGACGTATCGGCTGACAATGCGAATACCGAGGAGTCTTTGAAAAATTTGCCAGTGTTAAGACACCTGAGACCAGAGTTCCGAGCTCAACTTCCTGTGGTTAGCCCTAGAAGACCTACCGATGGTTCGGAACAAATTCTCAAGCCTTTGCAAAGGTAACTTTTCTTTAAATATTTCATTCATATTTCTGGATCTTTCGACATCGCATTCGCATTAATCAGGAGAAAATCCGGTTCACCTTCACCGGAGAAAATGCATATGTTACCTATTCATTCGATCATTGTCATACAATTTGCAGACTTCTTGATTTATGATATTATCGACTAGATTATCATCTATTCGCTACCCAGACAATATTATAAAATTGTATTTCAAAGGTAACTGTGCGGCATATAATCACACAGACAGAGAGTCTCTTGCACAATTATGAGAAGTTATAAATTATAGATTTCTCTTGCCCAATTTTATCATTTTACATTGAAGAGGGCAATTAGTAGATGGCTTGCAGTTTGTAAAATTGACGTGTAGAACTTTATCCGTTTCATTACTAAACGTATTGCTGTTATGCAAGAAAATTTATTAGCATTGATAACTTGCTACCGATGACATAAAATTTCGCTAATAATATCAGTTCGCTTGTGCAAGAGAACCCTGGCGGAGTTGAAGTGTCAAGGGAAATACAATTACGCATTTTTTCATCGTTAGGGTAACGCCAGTGTCACGTAAGGTCGAGCAGAAACCAAAAATACCAGCAGCTACGAATTTAGACGTAAATCTAGCGGACAGTGGAGCACAAAAGCTGAATTCTAGCGTGACCAGCATCCCAGATCAGCAGCCAGCTGCTCCAAAAGTAGTTCTACCTGTCTTAGAACCGAGCGCCAGCTCGACAAACGTGGCGAAACAGGTTGAGGAGGCGGAGAAAACGGTCGAAGAGAAAAATGGGCATTACTTCATGAAGGTACGCCTAACTGGAATAGAGCATGTCGAAAGAAACGTTTATTCGCATTCTTTGCTTCATTGTTGCAGCTGCTGAAACAGGAGACGGACAGGCTGCTCTCGTTAGCCGCGTCAGCAGAAGCGGAATTGGCCAGTGACGATACTGTTGCACTTCCGGAAGAAGCAGCCGGAAAACTGCGGTCAGCTGCAGGCAAAGCTAAATTGCTCACTTCGCAGAAGATGCAACAGTTTGAGGGGCTGTGCCAGAAAAATATTGTATGGCTTTCGTATATCGCTTTCCTAATAAGATTGTTAAATTTAGAATAACATTCAGATGATAAACAACACTCGTATTACCAACCATATACACTCCCGGTCATAAGTATTACGACGCTTTTTGGTTTCATAGAAAACATGATAAAATTATTAAAATTATTGTAAATTATGAAGAAAATGAGTAATCGGGCAAAGTTTAATACTCATGTATAAACGCTTAAGACTATGTGGACACTTCCTTATCTCTGACAACATTTTAATTGCAAAATTGTAGATAAATCGAAACATAAATTAGTATATATACATTTATGTACATATATTGAATATTCCATTTTTGTTGTAGAATCAAGTGCCTGGCGAAGAGTTCCCAACAACGAACGAGGATTTGGCGGGCTTCTGGGACATGGTGATGCTGCAGGTGGTTCAAGTAAACGAGCTATTCGATCAGATAGAAAAGTTACGCAATTCTCAGTGGCAAGAGGTATGTTCAGTTTCTGTTCACCCTCAGACAATCAATTCCTTGAAGCCTCCTGGGAAAAATTTTTATTCTCACAACAATACCGATAACGTAACGCCACCTGAATCGTCTTCCCGTATATCCTACTCGCACTCTGTTTCCAATAAGCGTGTACGATTCGATGATGCAACGTTTACCGACCCGGAAGAATCGAATCAGGTGAAAAAAGATTTCTATATCTCTCAAGTACCTGACTATGTAGCGCTTGAAATGCGTTTGTGCGACGATGCGTTTCAAGTTCTAACCCTTTCCCAAAATTTAGAGGAATATGAGAACCATTGCGACGATTATGAAGTAGATTATAATGAAAGTAATACGGTTCTTTTTAAAGATATAACTGAGATACAAACGATAAAAAATGATAGTTCTCCTCTTAAACCATGCACTTCGTACGTCATCAATTATGTGAACAGATTACAGCATGATATAAGTCCATTTTACTTTGAAAATTGTAAACAATCATCCTCTGATCTGTATCTTCGTGATGACTTTATTGAGAAGAATATTTCACCGAAATTTCAAACGATATTTAGAAAAGACGATGATGAATTGAAACAGCAAAAGCATGATCATTCTTTAAGTAAAGGACAGAATAATTATTCAGAATTGTTCACAAAAGATACGCAAAAGGATATAAAAAGAAATGAAAATAACGCAACCAACTTGAAGACTATTTCTTCATCCAGTAAAAGAATTGTATCTGCGGATAAAAGAATGGGAAAGGTTCGACCGAAAGCTAAATCCTATAGCTCCACAGGGAGAAATCTGAACCAGGAGATCCAGATAAAAAATGGTCGAAGAACAAGATCGCATACTCCAGAAAACAGGCCTCGAAAAAACGATTCAATTAAGTCAGGTATCGGCGACGAGCAAAAGTCTTGTAATTTAAAGCCAGTCATTATCCACAAAAGGGGCGAAGAGAAAGTTCCTACTCCATCAAAAATTGACAAGTTTCCTTATAAATCTTTCGCTGCGCATAAAGGAAGTGTTAAAAAACTTAGGCATAACGTCACATTTTCAAACGACATTAAAGAACTACCGCCAACAAGAAAAGATATTTCATCTGTTGATTGCAACGTTGTGAACATGACAAAATCATCTACAAAAAATTTATTGCACGCTAAACCAAAAAAGATGTTAAAAATGAAGAATGCGAAAAAATTGAGTCATAATTATTATGAAAGGTGTAATCTCTCTGTCGTAAGCGAAGTCTGGTCGAATCTCGATTTTGTGTATAATAATAAAAAGTCTCAAAGGAAATCCGATGCATATGAAGAAAATTGTACGTTTGCTGGGACGTGGAACGTAAGAAAGCAAGCAAAAGAATTAAAAAAAGAGCAGGTGGAAAAATTAAGAAAGGAGCAGATAAAGGAATCCCCCCAAAAAATCGAAAAAGAAGCAGAAATTTCATCTGTAATATCCGATAATATTTTTTGGAGACTAAGCGACTCGAAACCTTTCATTCCATTGTCCCCAGAAACGCTACGCCAATTAAGACAAATCTATAATGTCGAAAATTATTTATCTTCAACTGTGAACAAATCTGAGAAACTAGAAAGAATGAAGGTTTACGACAAGAAAAGGAAACAAACTTTCAAAATCGTGGAAGACGAATCTTTGAAAAAAATGGTTTCTCGCGGAATCACGTCTGATCTTTTGGATAGTCGTTCGGAAAATAATTTTTTGAAACGATTGGACACCCAAGATACAAATTCTGTAAGCTTACAAGATAATTTCGAGACGGCAAGCGAAACTCTAAATCCTATACCGGAAAGTCACGATTTTTCCATGCAATGTATAAATTCTCTCGCGAATTTGGTGCCCCGTGTAGCGAACAATAAAAATAAATCGACTCTCGTTATAAATAATATTACAAATAATATTCCAACATGGCCAATCAAGGATGGTGAGATACGGAATTTTCTCTCTACTTTAATATCCTCCATAAGTTCTGAGATTGTGTCGAAAGTTACGAAACATAGTAGTTCTAAATTAAAAAATCGAGTAAGCATCAAAAAACTAAGTTATGGTGTAATTACGAAAAACATAAAATCTAAGTCTAATGCCAATGTAAACGTTATCATGGATATTTCGCAACATGTTCGTTCAAATTTCGTTTCTAGTCGTTTACCAAATAGAAAGAGTGGAAAAAGTATTATATCTACTGACCTCGACAATTATCTGCCATTGAAAAAAGGCTTTCACGTGAATAGTTATTTAGAAGATACGAAATATATGCAATTATTTCCGAATAATATCAAATTTCACACAAATTCGTCAAATACTAAGAGTTTCCCTATTAAAGTAAAACACATGTGTACGTTTCTTAAATCAAATCGAACCCTTTGTCGATTATCGTTGTATTTGTACATATATGGTATTCTGAGTCTTGTTTTTATATTTCTAAAAATCACCGCGTACGACGAATCTTCGTACTCATGTATTCTGAATCCTAGGATTTTGTATAATTTGTACTAAATGAATCATTATTAGCAGCGATCAACTATACCCTCTTGCGTTTGTAGAATAAAAGCCCTCTTCTTCCTCCTTCGGTATTTTTCCTAGATTTTTGTCAAAATACCCAAGTAACGAAGATTAAGAAAACAGTGCTAGAAAAGCTGTAAGAAGAAATCCGAGAAGGATCCTTTTTCTCTAAGTATGTTTTACTTATTTCTATGTATCTATAGGAAATGTAAAAGTGTAAAAGTGTATGTGATGCATGTAACATGTACAGATATTCGCAATTTCCACTTTCTCCTTTTTTTTTACCTTTCACCTGTACTTCTTTCACCTGTACAATTTAATTCCTGACATTTCTTTACTTCTATCAGTCCTTAACATAGACGGTACCATTATTTTCTATTGCTAGTGCTTCATTACATTTGTAATATCTTTTGCAGACTGTACCAGAGAAAAAGACAGTTGCTTCAGCTCCGCAGAATGGCACCACTGCCAAACGTCGCGTCACGCCAATTCACAAACCAAAATCCACAGCTAACAGCGAAGCAAACAAGAAGGCAAGAGAAGCAAGAGAACAAGCTCGAAGGCAACTGATCGAAGAGAGAAGACGAGCGATGCGCTCGAAAGCGCAAAATTCCGAGAATACCGTGAAGATCTTCGCCCCCGATACGTAACGATAAAAAGAGGGGCGGATCTATTCAGCAATTCGTAGCAGCGTTTCCGGCGACGCTTAATGCCTCGAGCCCAAATCAAACTGCGGTATTTTGTATGCATTTTCTTAAACAACTCGAATCTCGAGCAGACTGACGATTAATTCTGAAAGCTTCTTAATTGACGATTAATACGATGCTCGTTGTTGCGTCTGGATCCACTTAATAAATAGATTAATGACAATTAAACATCAGATTGCTCGGTATGGAGTTGACTATAAACAATAATTATCGATATGCTTCGAACTACAATCAAACTCGCTTTATGTCGTTAATAGAGTTGAGCGTTGTGGGACAGCATACGAGCAATAAGAGCGATTCATGTAATTGATAAATATTTAGTGCGATCGGTTTTTTTAAGGATTGACTTTTAGTAAATATAAAAAGAGCCGGATCGATCGGGAGATTAAGTTTTTAACGTTTTAAATGTACGATATTTTATTACGATGTTTCCTCGTCTCACGCTCTTAAATGTTTCTCTTCGATTTTGTACACGCTGTGATGTTTCGTGCTAATCTTGTTACGTTTTATAACAATTTACGCTGTCGTTCGATTTCTACGTATTTAATGTTCACTTTACGAACGGAATAGCACAGTAACAGTTGAGCATCTTCGGCTCTTTGTTTCTATTTCATGTTTCTTTTTGTAAGATACTATGTCAAAGAATATGTTACTCGATGAGAAAAAAAAGCAAATCAGAATAAGTGATTGGGGAGAAAATGAATTGTAAAAAATCATTTCTCAATTTTCATAGTAGAAAGGAAGGGATAAAGACTACCCTTTGCCCATTGAATCTTTTTTGCAAGAAAGCTGAAAAGTAGTTACTCGAGTAAAGCGGCCAGATCATATTTCTATATGGTATTTCTAGCGATCATGAGTAACTTATATTTATACGAATAGCATGAACGATCGACGATCGCTGATAAACGTTAATGATCAGCAAGATGAAGGTAGAGAAGTTTATAACTAATCGTGGAAGTTAGTCAAAACTTAGGAACTTAATAAACCTGGTTTAAGGACTGCAAGACAAGAGATATACTCGAGAAATATTGGTTGCCTTGAGCCAGGTATAATTTTTATCTTGTAGTTCATGTATATAATATTAACGATCGTTCGAAAAAAGCGAACAATCAACCGTGCTCGCCTAAGAATTTCTGCTTGCAAAACGATCGGGATCGGGATAGATCGCGAGTTGCAGGTTAAACCAGAAAAAGATTCCTATTATTTTTACTATCTATACTGTTTCTGTAACTCTCGTAACAATTAATTGATATTATTATTTTAAACTCGATCGTTAGTTTGATCGCATTAATACCTCTCACGAGGAAATCGGTTTCGGAAAAAATATCGTAGTTGTGAATAGATCTTGCGAATTACCTGACAGACAAAAGGTGAAAGATTCTTCAGAAGAGTCCCTGCGCAAACATCGTATGGACCCACGTTTGTCTAAACTGACATTCCCGTAGAGACGGTCTCGAAACACCCGATAGTTTAATTCCCATGTTAATTTTAAGGTGTATCTGGTAGATAAACTGACGTTAGCAGATATAATTTAGAGCTGGCCCAACCAAAAAACACGCGCTATCTAATTAAATACTCGGTATGATGAATGTGTCGCGATTTTCACGATGGTATTGACTAATGTGCTGACAAATTTATAATTCCATGCGCGTTAAAATTGCAAAGAAAACAAAATAAAGAATAAAGCGAAAAGATGGAAAGGAAATTTCTCGAAGCATCGTTCTGCTTACTAATATGCAGTAACGCGTATCAATCTGCGTTATTTATTGACTGTTGATTCCCTTGGTGCCTTGATTATTTATACGTGTGTACATAAAATCGACTGACAACCGACGATTCGACGCGATATCACGTGCGATCGCTTTTGATCGCACGTGCCACAGACCCATCGAAAGACAACAAGCGAGTCGATAAATGAGAATGAAATGAAAACACGTTGGAAGCTTCTTTTTTTTAATTAGTTGGTGGGTTCATTGATCAGTTTTCTTGCACAATATTCACGATCATGGATAGAGAGACAAATAAGGAATCAGGATCATATAATTTTGTTCTCATTTATCCGTTCTGCCTAAAGACGAAAACAAATTTTGGTAACGATTTATTTTAGATTTCTAGCGAATCCATCAGAATTTTCTATAAAACGTCATCCTGAGTGAGAAACGATTAATTTTTTTAATGTATCAACCGTGTGCCGCCAGCGACTGTAAATAAGCGTGAGAGAATATTGCGTGGCTGAAACAGCGAGCGATTACAAGCAAATTAATCGTGTAATTTTCAGAAACCGTTGTATACCGATATGAACATTGGCCAGCACGACAGAATTCACGCGTATTGCAACTCGTTTTTCGTACTCTGTTAGTTCTCTTCGTTCTTAGTTGCATCCTCGATATACTGTGTATAGTCCTTGTTTAGGGGCTCACCTTAATCCACACGTAGTAATTTATATTCAGAACAGTTCCCCGTTGCTTTTATAGGGACCCATATGCCACATAGCTTTTCAAGAGATCGATCCAAAGCGTATATAAGGATAATCGTCGTGACAACCACAATCATCACGTTTCTCAAAATGTATTGTCTCTATTTTTTAATTCGCCGAAAATTTCACTAGAATTTGGAATTACGTCGTTCTTGAGAGAAAAATGTCCTGTGTTTTTATCTCATGAGAAATCGAAACTGATTTTCGGAAACGACAGGAAGCGCAAATTTTTTACTTATCGATGGGAAAAGATTCGATGTCTGTTAAACGCGTCGATCATCGAACGTTCCCTTTCTCTTTTTTACGCGAATAAACAATTACGATTATTTATTTATTAGATACTAGTAAGCTGTCCATACACCTGTTCTCAATGAATTAATAAAAAATGATAGAAAAACATGCAAATTTATTTTAGTAAAAAGAAACACGAATGATAGGGAAGTAGGAAGGACACAAGTATTTAACAACATCCTTGATTTATTTCTTCCTTATACAGTATTATTCTTCTCTTATATCTTATTTCTTACAAATATCTGTTTCATATACATTTACTTGTATACAAATCTTCTGTAGTAAGCTGAACCGTACTTCTCTTAAAACAATCATAATGCTATAGAGATGAAAATCTGGGGAAAAATTGGCACAGAACAGATTCATTTCTGTGATAAGTACATATATATTCGATGAAGCAAAAGTTCAACGACCCCCTAACAAAGATCACTGACCTTGAACTTGATTTGGTCCCACGATAAATTCCCTTCTATTCTCTTGTCGCATTTGCCAACGTTTGGTTTACTTTATCATCGCTCTTTTGGCAAAGATAATATCAATATTCCCAAAATATCAATGATGTACATTCCCCAGTTTTTCTAGTTTCACGCGAGGCAGATCAATGTTTTGCCCTCGTTCATTTTGTCCTGAACTTTATCACTGGCTGTGGACTTTTCTGCTTGGCCGCTTATTACCGCACAAACAAACGTCAATCCAACCCCTATCACGGCACTATAGAAAGCCCAACCTGGAACATAAAACGTTCTTTACCCTTTTGCTTGACAATAAATTAATTAAGTAATGAAAATAGGAGACGTCCCCTATTCTGTTCTATTCGTTTCATTTTATCTCTTAATTTATGTTACTCTTATATGTTATTGTTATTTTCATGTTAAATTTCTTAATGTTGCTTAGTGTGGGCAACAATTACAAAGATAAAATCCATGAATCTTTTTAAGTCGAATTTTACGCAGAGGATTTAATCTACAGCATCTTGATTGCCCGCATAAAAAGTCAAAGTGTCTTGGGAATGTAAAGAATCGTAAACGCTTTTACTACCTAGAGAGCATTCAGCGAGATAGAAAGCGTTAGCTTCCGGTCCACAGATCCTTTGAACCCTTTCTGCGCCCCAGCCGGCGGGATACAAGATCATCCCCAGTAAATAAAATATTCCTGTTGGCAAGAAGCGAAGTAGCATTAGAAACTTAGAGAGTTACAAGCTGTTTGCAAAATTGAAGTGTCACGTTGAAATATTACCAGCAATAACCTGCGCAACACCAGCCAGGTTGAAGATGCTCTTTCTGCCGATGCTTTGCATGCAGCAGCCAACCAAAGCTGCCACCACTGTCATCGACATAATCGCCAAACCAAGAGACAGGAAGAAGTAAGAAGCTTTCCAGCAGTCTGGAAATACGCTGGAATCTGTGGCGAAGCCGTCCAAGTTGAAATTTGCACAGTGAGTCTTCTTCCCGTGTAGCCTGATGCAACGATTGAAAATTCCGACTGTTGGCGCGTAAAACTCTGTCCCATTCTCTAACGATCAAAAGAAAAAACAGGAAAAAAGACTTTAATCCTTCGTCTAATATAGTTCTCTGTTTAGGAACGGACGAATGATGGATAAAATGTACAAGAAGTATCAACGAGAAGGTGATGGGGTCTCATCGAAGTAGACACGAGTCATTAATATTCCAAGCAACGTTAAGAACTTCTTTGAATATATCCCACCCTTCGACCGCATACTAACGACGTACGGATTAAATAAGAGAAAATAGTTACTCGTGTCTTTTATCTGAGGTCCGATGAGCCATTTTGGAGTGATGAGCCCCGATAAAACTGCCATTAACGCCGCCAGGGACAGGAGCGTCCACAGCAAACTACGACTAGTGACTATCACATAGCACATGCTGCCGTTCAATTGTGGATCTATGCCATTCTTCAAGCTCTAATCTCCTCCTGCAACATTTTTCCCTCTTAGAATTATGACCGACCCATGAAGAAAGGCAATATTTATTAAAAGAACCAATTCATGGCAAGACATAACGACATAAGTTTCTACCGCTTCAGCTATCGATCTTCAACATCACGGTTCATGATTAAAATACATCCTGCTAAATACAACGTCAGAATTTTGAGCGACTGTGTATTTACAGCGACTGCCGTTCTTCATAGTCGGACAGTATCAATTATTAAGTGAACCCATAGGTAATGCGGCTCTTCTCAGAGTCAAAGCACTGGAATTGTTATACTACCAAAGTTTTATACAAATTAAAATAGGAAGCTTAATAGAAAAAGATGAAGAACTATAAAGAAATAAGGAGATTCATCGCTGATCAATTTCTAACAGATAATTCTTCATTTTTACTTGTATGACGATCCAACACTGTGAGCGCACTTGGTGCAAATTGGATCAAAGTCGATCGTGTTATAAGGCAAGTTTGAAAAGATGATTCGTGGACACCCTTATCGCGATTCAGTCGGCGTCAGGGGTCAACGATTCGGCGATCAGGCCCAAAGACTTTCGGGTAACTGCGCAAGAATAAATGCCACTCACATATATTTCGGGGAAACGTTACGTATGGCCCTTTTCCCGCGCATCAAAGAACAGGCCGGCATTAAAAGTGAAGAGTCGCAAGTTCAGCCATACGCATCTTTTTCTCGTTTCTTTTCTCTCGCGTTACCGGTTCCGATTTTTTATTCTGATTTCGTGAGAATCGTAAAGCCGTGCCCGCCCAACAAAACATCCTTTTCTTCCGACCCCTCGTAAAACGACGAGCATGTTTGCGCGCTGATTCGAATCGACTTCGATCGGAGAAAAGGGCAAGAAGAGGTTTCTTCGAGCTGCCACGGGATCGTTATATTGGAATTCTCGGTTTGTTTCAGTTTGACGACCGCTTGACAACTCTTCCGGCACATCCTATTTCGAATGTTTCTCGTTGGATCTGTCATTAGAAAAAAGAAATCTTTGTAATAAAACTCTCAAGAAATAGTTTGTAAGATTTAAAACTGGTAATTCCAACTTCGAAGACCGAGAAGATTTACGTAAGACACTGCATGATTGATTATGGCCAATAAGAAACACTAATTGAAAATGTATGAAAATGATCGTATGGAACAAAATTACATTAAAAATGCGCTACTTGCCAAAGTATGGTATTAAAACCACATCATAAAATCAATACGGAATGATCGAATCGCTTATCGAGCAATCCAATATTACGAAGAAAAATTCTCATGGTAAAGGGCGAAGCAATTTTTCTTCACTCTATGAATACATTTAAATTTGTTAGGAAATCTGATTCTACTCGACAAAGGCTTTTCATGTTTTAATGTGACCAAGAACCAAGGCTAAAAAGATCGATCGGAAACCTGCCCCTCCCCCAGAACTGACCTATTTTGCTTTCTAACTTTAGATCGACCTAAGTTTGGGACCTGTGGATGATTTAGTGGGCGGTGGCCCTTCGTTGTTGAACGTATGCTGTTCTCCGCGACCCTTGAGATTTTTGATCCCCTTTAAACCCGCAAACTTAATCGCTTTCATTCCTCAGCGCCAGATGAGCGATTCTCTTTGATGTAGCCGCAACGTGGCGAATCAGTAGGCCACGATGTGTCGCGTTCTTTGTATGGAAAAAGATCTTCTTGGTGGTTGGCTCCATTCTCTGGGCTATTCTTTTATTCGTGCGTCGGAAGACACAGAATTTTGAGAAGCGAGCAACAACTCGCATACATAATTCGAAAACCATATAAGGAGAGAATTCTAGGACTCGATAGCGACGTAATGAATTTTTATGATCTTTTTCCTCTACGAGTAAACATACGATTTGTCATGATTCGCGATCTTCGCATCGAAAGATAGAATAAATAACACAGATTTTTCTGTCGTAAAAATTAAAACAGCTGATATTTATACATCTACATTGATAGAATAACAGTTTGAAGAGGACAAATAGTGAAAGGAAAGAGACGCCGAGTAATAATCGCGTTGCTTCGCCCTGCGGAGTAACGTGGGGAAGCAGCGATGTTTAATTAAATTCGTTTCACGCTGTACATCTGCCAGTTTTATTTTTATCATTTCTTGCGCGCGACCTCCTCTAAAAGCACTCAAGAGGCCGGGTTTACTTAGGATCGCCCCTTAATCGCTGTTTGTATTTATACTGTCTTCGAGTTTCGCGTCGGATTTAATGAATCCCTAACACCGGAAACACGTTGATTCACCGCGGCATAGAAACTCGTGACCTCACGGAGCAGCGGGATTGCTCCAACTTGTTTCAACATCGAACATCTGCCGTAGTTGTAAAAAACATGTGGCATTAATACAACCTCTCCTTCTTTCGTTATTAGGTATCTGCTGTTATGATGTTGAAAATGTTTAGCATCCGCCACGTGACATTAATAAACCGCGGTTTGGCTTGCAGCCATTCGAAGTTCGGAGAAGGACGGACGAGATAAGACCGATCAGAGCTTGCATGTAGACCACCAGTCGTTCGACGGACAACTTCTCTTATTTTTTATTTCTTTTTTTCCACTTTAATCGTTGCGTTCATTGTTGTGGGTTGCCACGCCTTTAGCGAATGCAGTAGGGCTCCATTGTCTCGACGTGAGTCCCCTTTGCTGAATTAATTTTCCATGTTTAATTCGTTGGAAAGGATCAGGCTAAAGCATTGGGCCTGTAAACTAGGTGGAACGAAATTCTAGTCGATCGACCGGCCACGTTTCTGATCGAATTATAACACGTTCGCTAACCAGCCACACGTGCTTCGCAATTAATTTACATTTAGTTCTATGCTTCAACTTGATCTCACACAGCTATGTACGATGTATGGTATTTCAATATAGCTGATACACAAGATGAACAAGAAATTGACGTACCAGAAGTTAACGTAAAATACATAAAGATACGTGTTACGTAAGTTTTACAAACGAGTTGTAACGTGAACCCCTCGAACACGTTGGTAGACCCAAGGAAAAATTATGAAATGTTGAATATCGTGAAGAATTATCAAATATATTATACAAAGGTACAAGAAACGAAACATGATCTATAGTGGGCATTTGCTTCAATCGTCTGTGATCGCGAACGTGTTAAAATTCAATAGAATTACCAGGAGAAACAACGTTAGAAGTCTCAGT